CCATCAAATTACTAACGTTCACACCATTCCGTATATAAGCCCCCCCCCGAATATAAGCCCACCCCTACATAAGCCCACCCGTATATAAGCCCATCACACTATAATACCGGTAAATTACACAAAAAAATCCACTACATTGCATTAAATTTCAACTAAGACTACGTCTACGGTATGTATTTATTTAAACAGGTTATAAAGGATTACAAAACACTTGACAGTTCGTCCCGATTTTGCCTCAAGGAGTCACGGACATATTTTTTGTGCAGGGTTTCAGTCCGTAAATATAGTACGTGTTTTCTTACTTTTAACCTAAGATGTGGTCCGTGTATAAGCCCTCCGTATATAAGCCCCCATCTATAAGCCCATCAAAAAAGGCTTATGAAATTATATAAGCCCAGGGCTTATATTCGGAAGTTTACGGTAGTTTTATTAGAATTTCTATCCTGACCAATGCTCTCAATTTTTTGTAGGAAAGTAATAACGTTGAAGAGGAAGATATGCAATTGGATATTTATCTAATGAATGGCAAGAAATTCCAAGTGAATGTTAGAAATACAGACTCAACTGATCATGTTATGCAGGTAGCTGGACAAACATGTGTTTTGATGTGGAATGGTCCCATTGCATAGCACCTTTACATAACAATATTGCCATCTAGTGATCTGAATTTTCCATTGCCATCCATCGTACATGTTTTGACATATTTAGCTTCTAATCAATCTGTTTTCTGCAGGAAGCGATGTCTCAGATTAAGCTTCCTCAAAACATGATTCAGTATTTTTCCTTGTTTTTGGTTCAAAGAGAAGAAGATTCAGGCTTAGCAGGTATGCATATTTATGACTGTCTTTTAAGAATAATCATGTGATGGTGATTTTACAGTATGTGGCTGGGGTTTAGCTATTTCTACAATGTGCAGTTGATTATAATGGGACATGGCTGTTAAGGTTTCCTTCAAATTTTCAATAGCAAATCTTCATTCAAACGAATTTCCTGCAGCTGTTTAACATTTCCTGCAAGCAGTGCTCGCATGCTCACCTATTTCCCCCCCCCCCTGATTATTTATTTCACCTCAATTGCCTGTGAGAGGAGTGCTTTCAGTTTGACTCTAACAAACACCTCACACACTGTCTTTATTTTTAGTTGTACGCAAACTACAAGGTTTTGAATCGCCTGCGCTTGTCGTACTGCCTTTAAAGGACACACATCGACTTGCAATCAGGAAAAAGTATGTCAATATTTACTCTGAACATTTAAATAAATTTTGGTGAATGAATGTTTGAATGCTTTGATGCTTGCTTAAATTTGTAGTTTCTGGGATTCGAATAAAGAAGATGAGTTATACAAGGACAAGATTGCACTAAATCTTCTCTTTGTTCAGGTAGTAATATTTTCAATCAACTTGCATCAGTTATTTAGACAAATTTTGGACCACAAATTGTGAACTAAATTCGTTCCTTGCAGGCTGTCAGTGACGTTGAGAGAGACTGGGTCATAACAACGCCTGAAACTCTGGAGGAGCTTAATAATTTGAAGACAAAGAACGAGAGAAAAAAGGTACATGACGATCAAATGTTTATGATGATCATATGTTTATGATTAACTAGCCATGAGAAGGTGTGAACTGAGTTGCAACAGGTGATCATTGGATTTAAATCCAAATAAAGATGAAACACAAGAACTCACTTTTCAAATGGCAAAACTCCCTTTTCAAATGGTAGAACTCCCTTTTCAAATGGCAGAACTCCCTTTTTCAAATGGCAGAACTCCCTTTTTCAAATGGCAGAACTCCCTTTTCAAGTGGCAGAACTCCCTTTTCAAATGGCAGAACTCCCTTTTCAAGTGGCAGAACTCCCTTTTCAAGTGGCAGAACTCCCTTTTTAAGTGGCAGAACTCCCTTTTCAAATGGCAGAACTCCCTTTACAAATGTCAGAACTCCCTTTTCAAATGTCAGAATTTGGTTTTCAAAAGCCAGAATTCCGTTTTCATTAAGTACGGTAATATAAGTTATTTTATATGTTATACATTGATCTTTTTCAGTATCTAAAACTTGCAAGAAGTCAGAAATTCTACAGCTATCTCCAGTTCAAACCATGTGAGATGGATTTCCCCGAGAGTAATTCAAATGTTATCATAAATATTGGTGGATACGAGCTCAACTTCAAACTCATTGGAACACAGGTAATCGTCTTTACATGTACATAATCGTCTTTACAAGCAAGGATGATAGATTTAGTTAGAGCGTTGTCTCTTACTGCTGAGTTAAACCTGCTACTTTAGGAAAGCAAGGATGACAGATGTGGTTAGAGCGCTGTCTCTTACTGCTAGTTGAGGGTAGGGTATTATTACTTAGTCTTAGGATGGG